CCCCCCCCCCCCTCTCCCCTGGGATGGACCGTGTAAAAAGGACGGGGCTGCTCGTCCGAAATTTTGAAAAAATCCTTATATGAGGTACCAAGATCCTGTTTTGTGGGCGTGGCTTGAAAATTTTTTCACCCCTAAGAAGTATCAATTGTAAAACAACACTTTTTAATAACTTAAATAGTCATAAAGACGATTGCTTCTAATGCGTCCTACTCGTAAAGTTGATCGTCAAATGTCTCCTAGCATATTTTTTTCGGCTCAATGCACTACCGTGTAAGCTCCCACTGTGAACATTTTGAGGCTGAACACCCGAAGGGGTACCAAATTAAAACCGCTCCTAAAAGGTACGATGAGCACCCCCGTCCTTTTACATGGGAGTTCCCCCCTGGCCGCTCGACTTATCATGTCAGGTGTAGCCGTAAATATATGAGAGGTTACTTTTCTATGCTAGTGTGTCTACAGATCTTTTTTCTGCGAGTTATTTTGCTTTGAGCCCCGAGCGAAGCCAGCGTGAGAGCGAGCAGGATGCGCCTTTTTTTTCAAAATATTCCTCGCGACGCTACTGAAGGCCCCCCACCCCAGCCCACCAAGAAACAAATAATAATCAGCCCGACCTTACTCGATACTCCCAGTCAAATGAACACTTATTGTACCAATAGAGACAGAAAAGTATCAATGGTAATAGAAATACAAATAACTGCTCATTCCTTTAATACCTTAAATTCCTTGTAGCTAGCTAGCTCAGTGTACATTTACTAAGTACTTTGCTTCTTTTAAATATAATGATGCGTACGCAAAATTGTTCAGTTTAAGTCAGCTTTTATATTCCGTGTGTAAATACGCTGGTAGAGATGGCTCAAGGACCCATAACTCAGTGGATAGACAGCTAGTTGTGATTTGACAAGCTAAGATAAATTCCACATTTAAAACTGTTATCGCGCCCGTTTCTTCAATTTTGCACCCATGCAAGAAATTGTGCATTTTTTTCAGTTTTGTTGAACAGCGATTCTTAGCGTAGCATTCTATTCTTGCAGAGTTCCGTAACCTCTGGCATCGGCATCTCGAACAATCTTCAACCTTGCAGAATGATTTTCATCCTCTATATCAGTATCCTGCCTGTCTCCTTGCGATTTATTTTCAAGATCTGACATGGCAATACTTTCTTCTTTTCCTCCTTCTCTCCTGCTGGACCTGCGGGCTCTCTTACTTGCGGTTTCTCCATCTTGCGCATGAGCTTTGCTGTCCTCGGCCGAGTCCCCCTGGGAGGAACTGAAGAGCTGCAGGATTTTTGAGTAGATGCCAGTCTTTTTCAGCTGAGACATGAGACTCTGCGCACAGAGGTTGATAGTTATGGAGACAATTGACAGGCCAACATAGAGCAGCATAAGGTTGATCCAGATACCCTGAAATATCAACGTAAGCTGTTCGGGATATTGAGGAGAGAAGAAAACAAAGTCATGCAATTATCCTCATGCACGTGCAATATTTTTTATACAACAAATAAAATAGTACGTAGAAACGATAAAAAAGTTAAAATCAACAGAAAAACAAATTTAAAAAAAACAGAATTAAAGTAGCTGAAGCTTTCTCCTTTCCTCAGTGTTAAAGAAACGACAAATGAAATGAAATGGGCATATTTTGTTAAGCAGCAAGTTTTTCAATGAAGAACGGTTTAAAATGCGGTCATAAGATTTCGTTCCCAGTACTCTTGGGAAAAACATCTTCGCCTTTAGTTTTCTTCACAAGAGATCTGGGAGCGAGGGGTGGAAATTAGTACTAGAAGAATACTGGATAGTGCATGACTTGAAGAGCACAGCTTTTTTTATGAGAAGATGCTTTATGAAGAGATAAGACACCAGTAAACATTCAGGAAGGGCGAACTAGACCACGAATTTTTGCGCTTGCCATATAGAACTCCATTAACATTGAATTTTTGGGTAAATATACTGAACAGAATTAATTTTCCAAAGAGGAACTCAGTCGTTGCATTTGAGATTAGGCAGAGGCCTCAGATGTGTCAAGACTGTGGTAGCCTTGTTTGCAAGAAAGAAATGTACGTGAAGTGTGAACTGCGTTAAGCGTGATGAGTCACGTGGACATCATAGATCAACCGTCCAATAAGATTCCTGTATATCTAAGAGAAGACAGTTAAGTGTTAGAGAGAGATTGTGTTAAGAGACTTTTTTTAGTGTCACGTTTGCGACACATGTTAGATTTATATTAGCTGTGATACGTCATTGTCTTTTTTATGATCTGAAGGTCCGTTGTTTGATGGTTAGTAATCTGCTGTGAGTAGTCCATAAGTCGAAAAGGTGATTAGTGTGAATGTGAAAAGAAAGTTAAGCCCTTGACATGAGATCACCTGAAGAGAAAGGGTCGTAGAAAAAAGAATTAATAGACTATAGACAGACCATGTTAAGTATTGAAGAACAAATGACATAGATGGCGATCCTCAAAGGTGCTAGGTAACTAGACGTTTCCAATTTTGGTAGTCTGGTAGTCTAACCTTCAGTTTTGCCTATAAGGGAGGTGTCGAGTTCAAATCCTCCTCCTTGCCACTAGATGAATATGTGTTTGGTGGTCCCAGATTCAACTCCTCCGCGCTTTGTAAATAGTCAGCCTCCTGCCAGTTGGGATATTTACGTACCACGTTTCTGTTCAATTCAATTTACAATATTTGTTTGCTTGTTTCAGCGTCCCCATTTAATAGAGTAATGCTAAACTCTTCGACACTTACATAAACTGATTTATTTTTTTAAATTTTATTTGGCCCAGCACCTTTGAAGAAGAGTTATAGATAGTTATACCCGCCACTGAGAATTTAATTCATGCAGCATAGTCAGTAGAGATATGAGGAATGAAAGTAAGAAACAGTTTAGATCAAAACATGGAAAAATGTCAAGGTGTTCTTAGAACGCGTGGGGCTGTCTGAGCTGAAGCATGCCATGCAGTCAAATAATAATAATAATAATAATAATAATAATAATAATAATAAGGCACGAATTTTAAGAGAAAATATGAACTGGCTATTGTAGATATAAAAAATTAGTGGCCTGCTAATGATTTTTTTTTCGCTTTCTCGTGCATGTTCACGCGTTCTTCCTATAATTGTGTGAGGCTGTTTCTTCCGTATACTAGTTTTTATTTTAATTGTCGCTCAGTGTTCTATTCTTATTGCTCCTTTCAATAACATGCGGACTCTAAAATTCAAAGCTCAACCCACAAATGCGTTTTTCGCTACCGTCAATCAAATGTTCAGCGGCTCCTCCCAGCTTCCGACTACTGCCGAGCGCGCGGTTATTCAAATCGTTGAGTACAGTTCAGACAACAAAACAGTGCTCGGAAGTAGTCGGAAGCTGCGAGGGGCCGCCGAAAATTTGATTGACAATAGCGAAAAACGCGTTTGTCGGTTGAGCTTTGAGTCCGCATGTTATTGAAAGGCGCAGTAAAGGCAAGTTTAAAAGTGCAGACATGTACCGCAATGATTTGACTTAACATACACCTGGGCGCTATAATTGAGTTTTGAATATTTACATCAGCTAAAAGATTAAAAATAATTCTTGGTACAGGGGGAGGAGCATTGGAAAGAAAGCAGTTATATGACTTAAAGGGCTCTCTCCCGTACGGTACGATGCCACGGGAAGAGTTTATTAGAGACGCGCACTTCCCTTGAAAAAGGCGGAGGCTAAATGGAATTACTGAGGGGAGGCTTTCTAGCTGTTAAGACGACGGGAGAATTAATAGATGGAGTCTGATCAGGTTGTAAACTTTTGGTCGGTCGAACGTGCTGTAAGCGTTAGCCTTAGAGTAGCCAGTTGCGCTTAACCTACATTAGGTTTTTTTAGGTAGTACATAGAGAACCGCGTTCTTGGAGTCGAGCATAACAGCATTTTGGGGTCGAGCGCTGATTTCGTGTCGCTAGCTCAAAAAATTCATCTCTTTCTTCAGTTCGGTTAATCTCCTTTATATCAAATACGGAACGTAGATTGATGAGTTACATCTTTTGCAGTAAGAGCAGGGTTGAGCTGGTCTCGATTTTATCGACCCTGTCTTCTAAACTAGAGATCATGAACCTAAGCAACTTCTAGCAAATAATTATTAAGGCTACACGCAAGACCTAAACCAATCAGAGAACAGCATACGTACCGCTTGAGACTGAGGTACGACATCTCCAAATCCGATGGTGGTAAACGTGATAAAAATGAAATAAAGCGCTGTTCCAAAGTCCCAACCCTCTAGGGCACAGTACATAAAGGACATCACTGCTAGAAACAGGAATATGATTGGTAGAGCGATCCACACTGGAGCATTGATCTGCGCGTCTGCAGACTCGAACTCGTAATCACTGTGGTACCTCCTTATGCGGTTTACCAGCCATGCGCATGCGTCGTTCAAGTAATGAACGATGTGGTTTCCCACCACGGCAAGCAGCATCAGGGTCAGCGGTATTCCGATGAGAGCGTACACAATGCAGAACATGCGGCCACCCGTTGTAACTGGCGCCAGGTTACCATAACCTAATAGAGAAAGAAACTTCTTTACTGAAATCAAAGTGCACTATGAGCAAACCCATCGATTTCCCAATGGATTATGATTGAAATGTGTGGCTCACAGGTTATTCTGGTTATTCGAGTTACCATATTGACTTCTGGCAATACATCTTATAACAGCAGATTTTTTCGTTTCTTTTTAAGGTGGCCGAACACAGTTTTCGCGCGCGCTTTTGCTGATGCAATTCAGGGCGCGCACAAGGATTGCAAAAGACAAACATGCCGTCAATAGAGCGATCATTTTATTTACTCGACGCCCGCACTATCTGTGCTATTTTTCTCAATAATTGAACGCAGTGTATTGATGGCTTTAGTCTTTTATTACAAATATATGTTAGAAAACGTAACGATGCAAAGAACCCAGCAATTCTAAGCTTTTTATTTGTTACCGAAAGAACCCAGTTAAATGGAGCGCATGCGTAGTAAGTCAAAAAATTGCGATTGAATGAAAATTTGCACTCTCGGAAATACGCCTATTTCTCGAGAACCACTCATTAGAATTTCACGAAATTGGGCACGAAAATACTTTAGGAAATAAGTAACTGGACTACTGAAAAAAATTGAACTTTAACAAAGGAAATTCTAAATATTCCAGTGAACCTTCAAGAGGGAATAATTAAAGATCTCTCTGTTAAATTATTATTAAAATAGTGTTAACTTGTGAGCATCGTCACAAGCTTGTTGCACGCAAATTATAAAGAAAATCCAATGACGAGATTTTCTGCAAATAAACAAAACCGATTTTAAAGGTCTTTTTCTATTTATTCATGTTGCCATGGCAACGGCACATACGTCAGCTTAACTATCAAAAAACCGAAGTTTGTGTTGTTAAATTGCTTGCTGCCATTTTTGGCGACCAAAGGATCAAGGGTTTTAGAGAAAAAGGTGAATGAAACACAGGTATCAAAAACTGTGTTCAGCCACCTTAAGAAAAAGAGAATGACTTTTCGCGCATGCTACATGAGGTACACTGTGCCAGAGAAGCTGTGTTTTCAAATTCCTCCGGTGTGGTGTGAACGGGGCCTTAATTGTGGGTGAGAAACTTTGTAATAAGTAAACATGTATGATTTTAATTCAATTTTAACGACCTTTGTAAGATATTTCCTTTTGTTTTGGCAAAAAGATTTTTTCAAAGACGTTCCCCCGAGACAGGTGTGAACTGCGAAAGAAAGTGTCAAGGATCGCGTGTAATAATACATCAAACTTAATGAAATAATGACTTTTCAACGGACAAGTTTACGGAAGACGAACAAAAGCATTTTGGGCGGTTAATATGACATGGAAAGGATATGTTGAGTCTAAATTTGAAAAGAAAAAAAGAAGAAAATAAGAAGAAAAACAAACAAAAAACAAAAGCAAACAAAAAACAAAAACAAGACAACAAAAGATGCTTCTTAAGAAGTGACTAAAAATAAGTTTACTCAGTATGGACAGAATAGATTATCTATACTCTCGATTTTTGCATTACTTTAAACGAAAACGATCTGTTTTTACTAAGAGCTGAGGATTTTGTATTGAAGCTTTGACAATTAGCCCAGGTAAACCACACTATAACCCAAAATACTTTCAAAAGATTGATACAAATCAGTATAATGCGTGGTTGGTAGAGCAAAGAGCTCGGAACTTCTATACGGTATCTACAAAAAAAGTGAATCTTTTGTAAAAAGATGTTATTTTCGAAATTAAATTGAGAAAAACGATTGAATAGCGGTTAAAATTAGAAGAATTAATTCTTACCGATCGTGGTTACGACAGTTGTTGCGAAGAAGAGCGAATTTGAAAAGCTCCAGCTAGGTTTCGAAGCAGCTGTCCTGTCGCTCCTTATCTTCTCAAACTTGCTGTCGAGATTTTTCAGCGATTCAGTCTTCAGGCCTTTTACAACTTCTTTGCTGTCAAAATCAGGCGGTAAAATTTCCTTTCCGATGGAAGTGTCCTTTAAAGTTTGCAAAAACGAACTAACATCATCTACGGTTCTGTGTTTCGTTTTAGGTTCGTACTCTATCGATTCGAAGATGAGCCCGCCGAGATAAAGGAAAACAAGATTCGCCAAAAATAAAACGATCGGAACTAGATTTTTCCTTTGAGTCGGGGTCAATTTCATGGTCTGAACTTCGAAGGCTTTGTCCTGTGCACAAATTATTTTTTCTGCGAGTGATTTTTAAAGATATCCTTTTTAGATATCTACTTTTAAAAGTGCGGAGGTCGTACAACTATATTTTTGTGTTGAATTATTTATTTCTGTAAACGATTATTTTGATTGTAAGTTTTATTGGTTGGTCAAGTTCTTTAGTTTCTGCTACAATATCGCTTTCATTATTTTAATTTGTCAAGCGAAGCAACTAAAACAAAACAAATCATTGTAAGGGAACGAGCACACGGCGAGAGCTGAAAAAACAAACGAAAATATGGACGGCAAGAAAAGAGATGTTAGAAATCCACCTGTTATTCATTCTGTAAGACCTGAACTAATTTTTTTTGCCCACGCTATTTCGATCAATTTTGATAAAATCTGAATGCGGTTTTTGCTTACAGCATTTGTACCGGTTAGATTTGATGGAAAACTGAGAGGGGCGATAGAAAGGGGGGAACCCATCCTGACTTGCTAAAAGTCTAGAGACCACTAAAAAAAGTTTAAAAAAATAGATAGAAATAAATAGTAAAAAAGTGAGTGGAGGAAAACGAAGCGCAAACATTCATTTGAATAGTTCAATACTCGAGAAGGGTTATCGTGCAAATATTCCTTGAGGTGCCCTTGAAATTCTCAACGACTTCGTCCGCAAGGAAGCAGGTTTAGTGTTTAGATCTGAAATAGGCATCGTTAAAAATGTTCAGGTGTTTTTTAGGGTTAGCCGAAATTAAAAAGAAAAGAAAAAAAAAGGCAACTTTACTTGGAATTTACAGGAACTGTATACGGAGTAGCAAGCAGCGGTCTTTCCCACTAAGAGACAGTTTGTGTGAGTTTACATAACACAACAAAGGAAACTAAACCAAAACGCGCAAGACTGAGGAAGCTTCTTTCTTTTGGCCTAAACCTAAATTTTGCGAAAATGAAAATGAAATGAAGAAGAAAGTCTTTTCCAAAGGAATGTTTGATCCTGCCAGATTTGGAATCAAATTGCAAAAGGTGGTGTGATTGGTCACGTGTTGGGGGAAAGGTCATAGACGATTCATTTACATAATTTTACATATCGACCAGGCGAGCGAATGACATCATCTAACTGATCTAGAAACATTTGAATGGGCAGAGCTCTCAAACAGAAACTGTCAGCGGCAAGACACCAGTTTCTCTTTGTTAGCTAGACGACTACAAAATTGAAATAGTCTTCTCTGCTCGAACAGACGCTTGCACAGCGGAAGTCATCGAAAGAAAGTTGATGAAGTCGCTTACCACATGTAGTACGTTATCATCGTCCACAATGATCAGACTCATTTCTTCGTCTGCAAGTACTGCAGTTTCTGTGATCACCGCCTTGGTATTTCTGATTGTGGACATTTATTTAAGGATATATTTCTTGTGGCTTCGAATAAGCACCTGGTAAGTTTTCACAATATTATAGGTAGGCAACACAATATATTCCTATCTTTCTTCTCTTGCATTGAAGCTTACATGCCCATTGTGAATGCGTAGACTTGTGTGTAACCCACAGTAGTGCTACAGTGTACATCGATCAGACTTAAAGAGCTCCTTTGTAGAGTGCAGACAAGACACAAAGTGAAACCGGCAAGTAACTGTAGATTTCATCGAATTTTTGTGCTTGGCCGGTCCAAGGGTCGAAGTTTACTTGTGCCAAATCCAATAATTGTAGAAATCGATCCAAAACAATGCAAATATTACGCAGTGTCGTGACATTTGTCACGAACTTGTTTGGAGTGATCCTCAGTCTTGAGTTGTGGATGATAATTAAACTTCTAAAAATCTGGAACTAAATAAAGATATCTTATCAGTTTATATTAATCAAGCACATAGGCTGCACTGAGGCAATGTTGACCTTGAGGTCTTCACAGCATGAACAGAACGCAGCAAGATCTGCTCAAGATCAATATTATCCTCCCTCCCTTGTGCTTGGGTAATAAGAAATTTATTAAATGATTGAAAAGGTGATTTGAAATGGTTCCAGAATTGGAAATGTTATTTTGCTTTATCTTTTTCCGTGACCATTTTTCGAGGTGGTGAATGGTCTGTCAAAAACCATGGGGCTGACAAAGTTTTCTTTGAATTTCACTGGTCTTGCAGTCTCGTTGTTTTTGCTGTACATTATATGCACGTCTTGCAGTTTCGATCTTTTCACAAAGCTGTCTCATAGTTTTTAGTTTTTGCAAGGCTAAGAAAGTCTTGAAGTACCACGTTTTCTTATTTATACATGTAAATGACGTCTGAATGTCTTAGAACTTGAATATCTGGAGCTCACAGTTAAAACACTCTAAAGTCTTGGTCTTGCAGTTGAGGAAGTCAAAATGTCTTGGGCTCGGAAAGGAAAATGCCTTTCTCACCTTTTTGCAAAGTCTTGCATTACCATTCACACCCCTGTTTTTATAATTCGTAATGCCACATGTCAAGCTTGTGTTTCAAGCTTACTCTCCAGCAGCTACATGTATGAAGGTGATGAAATTGTGCAGTTCCAGGAAATATCTGTACTCCTGTCACAGAAGGAATTGAAATTTTCTGGTAGTGGTGGGGGGAGAGGGTTCTGTAAAACAACAGCAACAAAAAAATAAATGAAGAAATGCATGAAGCTTAATTTGAGTTTCCAGAGGAGTGGGAGGTCTCAGACACAATCTCTTCCGTGGGGGAAGTATGGATATTTTCTGGAACTGTACATTGTAAACCTGTATAATTTTTTTTTATAGTAACTAAACATGTAGCTAGACAGTACTGGGTGAACATTGCCTGAGGGACTGGGTAAAGTGAGTTCTGTGCAGGAAAGACTGATAGTGATATTCTCCCAGTATGAAATTACAATGTTTAAATCAATGTCAATACATTCTGCGGGTGTGTACATCTGATCAGCAAAAATGTCTGAAGAACTATCTGTTTTATACCAGCTACTGAGCTCTGAGGAAATTAATGTTATTTATCCATGAGCACTACATGAAAATCTGAGGTAACTGAATTGTGCATTATTTATATCTAAGATACAGCTCCAGCCATATAATTAGCAGAACTTTGTTTATAATGTAGTTATTGCACAGATATTACATGGATGTCATAAAAAATTTATAATAATCCTGTTTTCTATCTATTACAGGCTTTTAAATTGTTTTCTGTCATTTATTCTTGTCTGGTGGTTTGGAGTGACCAATGTGAAAATTACCATAGGAGAATTTAGATGTTTTTCAGTCCGAGGTGTGAAAGTTCAATGGAATGATGATCCAGGACTGGTATGTGAATCACTTATATAAATCATAATTTATTACTAACTGCAGACAGTACTGTTTCGGCCTTCTGGGCCTCATCAGCGTAGTGCTGATGCCAGGATGGAGGAGAAGCCATATGGTCACCCCAAACGATCCCACACTTGTTTTGTCATCTAGGCCATGCTAGAGTGCTGAAACTAGTTAACAATAGTTTTCAATTGAGTGCCATAAAACCAAAAGTAAGTAATCACTCTAGCCAATGTACACTGAGGGGACGCAGGCAATACATTGGACCAATTACACCTTTCCTAAGATATTCTCCATAGTGACATGTTAATGTGGATAAAAAAATGGAACATAATATTGCCATGATTAATTAATTATAAAGAGAATGATCATTGCAGTTATTACTGCACAACTTATTAGGAGTTGTGAAAATAATGCCTGTTATTTAACTACTGCTTAATTAAGTTGTGCACATGGAGTTGTACATTTACATAACTGCGATGATCATTCATATTTAAAATTACATCTCTCTCTGCACTTCAAATTAAGGGCTTTTCACACATTCACTAAAGCCTGATTGATTAAAATTATGTTAGCCTTGTCAGAGCATATCTGCGAAGATAATCTTATATTAATTTATTAAAAATTGATTTATTTTTGTATTAATTGTTGAGACTTTCATTTCATGGGGAATCAAATGGTACATGTGTTCATTATTTTATATATATATAATTTACAAGTTTGCGGCTATTTTCTCCTCAGACTATTGAAGAAGTAAGATACAAGAAAATTGAATGGAACTTTGAAAAAATTAGGTAAGGTGATGTCCTGTATGAAATATTACATAACATTTAGAGGTATATCAAGTGGTAGCAAAATGATAAAAACACTATCCCAGACTTGAAGTCTTAGTAAGAGAAATTTTGTATCTTGCTGTGGCCATGCAATACCCTCTATTTACTGGTACATGTACAATGTATATGGTTATGAATATGAAAAAGTTTAAAGAAGAACTGTTATTTGCTTAAAATTTCTTCTAGGGATATCACAATACTCTTCCAAATAAAAGATTTGCACAGAGAGGTGTTGACTGATTCAGAGGTTTGTCTAGTGATTAAACATACTGTAATTTTTGTCATAAATTTGTTTTGTTTGTCAATACTAATGAATCAGATCAAGCTACACATGATGCAGCAGCTTTTGTTATGAAGTAAATAATATTTCTCTGGTATAATTCTACATTCTAGCCACATGTACTATGTCATTTAATTGGGACATCAGTGAAACTTCTAGAATTTTCCCTTAATCACGGAAAAATTCCACTCCTTACAAGTCCTGAGATGACAGGACATGCTGCATAATTATGCTTATTCACTGCTGCAGCACTTTGTAAAATTTACTTGTGGTCTAGTTCCTGAGGTATCAAGTGGTCAATACATGTAGGACTTCACAGTCCATGTACAGAGTTGTCTACATGTATATATCTGGGCTAATGTATAACTGACAATACACACACAGCCAACAGTTTCCAATATCAGCCAGATCTGTTTTTCAAGGGTTTGGCCTCTGTCAGTAAAGTGATAGGAGAGTTTGTATTGACTCATACCCTGGATGGGAGAGCACATGCAGTCTATAAGATACTTAGTAATATGTTTATTGATAGTTGTTTCATACATTTCATAGGATTCAACAACAGACATCTTCACTTCTTTTACTCTTCATTGGAAAATGGTGGGTTCACATTTGGTTTTTCAAATGAAAACTTTTTTTAGAAAGTATGTGTATTATTATGCACTTTTACTAAAATGCAAGATAATATTTTCAATTAAAGTACTTTAATATTATATTTACTACCACAGAGTAAAATTCTACTATACTACAGTAAATGCAGATCTGATTGGCCGAACTATTGCATGCCAGCATTCACTAATGTGCAGTGGGTCAGAGGTTATTCACATAATGGCAATGTTTTCTTGTTTTTCCAATGTTTGGGAGGAAAATTTAAAAATACCACTGGATAATTCAATTTCCAGGAACATTAAAGAAAGGAAATTGGCCATTGTACCCCCCATTCACAAATCAGTGATGAACTCCTGCCAAGACAAAAATGTCAGATCAGTCATTTTTTTATCATTGAAATAGGGGTTGGTGGGATGGGAGGGGGTAGGGGGTAAGTACTAAAATGACCAAGATTATAGCCTGTCCAATTAACAGATATCTATTTAAGAAATAGAAAACATGTACTGTGTTTCTATTGAGTTTTAGAAATACAAGTGGAAGTTTGGGAGAAGGAGAAATGCTGTGGGAACACGAGCAGCAGGCGAGTGTTTCCACAGCTTTTTCGAGTTCTCCCAAACTTTCACAAGTGTTTCTATAACTCAATAGAAACACAGAGAACATGTTTTCTATTTCTTGTAGAAAACACCATGATGAAAAAAAAAGGAAAACAACTTGTTAACTTTGATTGTCAAGATTTAAATTCTGTTTGCTCGTGCCATCATGATTGCGTCAACAGCTAGTTCTGTGTTTCTATCAAGTTATAGAAACACAATTTTTAACCAATCAGCACACGTATTTTCATAGGACTGTTTTCTAATATTGAATTGTGAATAAACAGCCTTAATTTACAGTCCAATCTGGCCTCTTGAAAGTCCTTTTTTTGTAACACACGGTACAATGTAGTCAGCTAAAGATCACTCTTTGTTCTTGATTCGCAGCATTCTCCCGGTGATCTGGTCAGTAGTGATCTGCGAAATTCAAGCGAGGCTATTCCGTCTTCCTTTACTTTGCTACATGCCACAGATGTGGAAATTGGAAGCAGGCTTCGAGTTCATAGAGGAGGTGCATATGTTGCGCTATTTGAGGTACATGTACAGTAATTCATTTATTTTGGATAGAAGATAGGGAAAGAACATGGGAGAGGGAAGGAGCATATACCCCCACGGGGATAAATTGATAGTTTACCTAGCCCAGTGATGTTGGTGGCCTCATAGTTAGTGCGCTTGACTCCGGATCGAGTGGTCCAGGTTCAAGCCCTGGCCGGGGTCATTGTGCTGCATTCTTGGGCAAGATGCTTCAAATCACTCTCACAGTACATGTACTTCTCTCCACCCATTTGTTGTGATGGGTACTGGCAAATTCAATGCTGGGGGTAACCCTGCAAATGGATTAGCATCCTATCCAAGGGGGACTAGAAATACTCCTAGTTGCTTCATGCTACAGAGACCGGGATAAGCTCCGGCCTGATGGGCCACTTGGCTTGTATGCAGACTTTACCTTTTTTATACAAGTTGAATAAATTAAGTCATCCCCTCCATTCAAAATAATTACCCTTTCAGCTAGAAGATTACAGGGTCTGTTTGTGCCTTGTAAGCTCTTATGATGCAAATTTGTGTTTTGGTACCTGAAATCTTTTAAGCCAGTTTGATAAGTGAATTAATCCCTTGTAACAATGGTAATAAAAAGGTGACAAAGGAAAAACAAAATTAAACTGGTCCAACCAAATCACACTTATTTTACAAAAACAAAAAATAACTGTCAGTAGAACATAAGGCTACATGTCATGTACAGTGTAGATATAGCAGGTGAAGACATTAGGGCCAGAAATAAACTGTCTCTGTTGGAAATGAACTATTTAACTGTAGACTTTGGAAAATGCTAATTTTTGTATAAAATTTACTTGTTAATTTTGAATTACATTGGTGTCTTTCATCAGGCTGCTGTTATTGATGGACTGTTGATTCCATCAGGCAAAGCTACATCACTGTGTGTAAAGTACAGAGAAGTGACTTTCTGCTGTGGGAGTTATGATCCTGGACTTATACAGGCCAAGAGAGAAAAGGTACATATTGACTCTTTTTAGAATAATTAATAGAGTGAGCTGTAAAATCCAACTAAGGTACCAATTGTTCAAAGTCTGGATAATGCTATCCACTGGATAAATTGCTTTCCAGCTGATACTTGTACATGTAAGTGTTAACAAAACAGACACACTATTCACTGGATAGTGATTTATCTGATGGATAGCGTTATCCACCTTTTGAATAGGCTCGATTACCAGCCGCTGCTTGAGGAAATGAGGCACGTGGACTCAAGAGTGGCGGGTATCGAGCCTACCTTTTGAACTACCCAGGATATTTCACAGAATTCAGGTTGCTGCTTTGTGCTACCTAACACAATGCGAAACTGTTTAGGCCAGGAAATCGGCCTGAATTTAGGGACTATACTGAGAACACAAATTTAAAGACATGTCTTTTGGATGATCAATAGTTAAGAACACAACTTAAAAGTGCTCAGCTGTGAAAATAAAGCCTAAAGATAAATTCAGGCCTGAAAGTGTACATGTATGTCTACATGTATGTTGGTTGCTAGTCTGATGCTGCGACAAGTTCCATGGTGCCATTGCTATTTTTGGTGCTGCTGATACTGATTAGGCCAGTTTTCATCCTACATGTAGTAGATGAGTAGCTTGTGTTAAAACATTTTTCATCAATGAAGAAGCTCCTCTTGACATTTTCCTCTTATTTATACCTTCCAGATCCTTAAAATGTCACTCATGGATTTTCTAGGCACTTGGTACACAAAAGGTCCTGCTCAGATTACAACAAACTATCACGGATTGCAGATCTTTGTTAGCCCAAGCAAAGTGAATTCTTCTGTAGTTTATCAAAATCACTTGTTGGCTCAGTTAAGCAAAGGTATGGTGTAGGTACAGTGTAACTACATGTAAAAGATAACTCCTGTTAGATAACTCACCCTTGTAAATTAAATATATGAGATGTTTCCAGTATTATATCTTTTGCTGCATTTTTGTTGGACCATCTGTGATCACATGAATTGTACAGACTGCATTTTGTGCATGCTAAAATAGAAAACCAAGCTTCATTGGTCTCAAAGTGAAAAAAGGAGGGTTAGTTTCTCTGCCTTTCAGCTGCAATATCTTGGGGAAAGAGCCAGAAATACGGCCTTTTTTTTAAAACAGTCAATAGGTCAAATATGAAGTTCAACTACCCCAAAGGTTGAATTTTCTTTAAGTTTTGCCTGTCTTGTTTTATTTAGTTTTACAAGCTAAAACTTATGCCAGTAAAGAAGATAATGGGACAACTGACAAGTCACTAGAGGTAAGCCTTCATTGTGAAGTTCATGTTCAGGTTAAAAGCTAATTCGTTCAAGCATGTAGGAACGCCGGTATCTTGTCATAATTAATTTGCCAGCATATACCATTGTAATTTATTTTCTTATATTCTTGATTTTGTTCCTGTTTAGTTGAATGTCAAGTCTGATGATTTTAAGGCTTCAGTGTGTTATCAAGATGGAAGGGAAGCTGTTAGCATCATCATGTCATTCAGTCTTTCTCTTCATCAGAGAAACAAAAAAGTAAGTTCTTTGATAGTTATACTGGGAGGTACGTGGTGGCCTCATGGTTAGTGCTCTCGTCTCCAGAATGAGTAGTCCGAGTTTGAGTCCTGGCGGGGGACATTGTGTGTGTTCTTGGGCAAGGCATTTCACTCTGACAGTGCCATTCTCCACCCAGGTGTACAAATGGGTACCAGCAAACGTAGTGCTGGAGGTAACCCTGCAATGGACTAGCATCTCATCCAGGGGTAAAGTAGAAATACTCCTAGTTGCTTCATGCTACAGAAACTGGGATAAGCTCTAGCCTGATGGGCCACTTCGCTCATGTGCAAATTTAACATAAATGTAGCTATTCAACCTCATTGCCTAGTGGAGACTTGAGCAGTGAGCAGTCAAAATATCATGATCTACATATAAAAGTGACTGCATCGTGAAGATGAAGAAAAGAAATAATAATAAAATATCTATTATTATTATTTAAGTCCCAAAATGGGCCAAACAAAGTCCATCAAACAGAGATCCATTTTGAAAACTTTTTTCCTGTTTCACTGCACCCCTCTTTATTTTCTTCTTCTGTTATACTCACCACTGTGCTTATGCATGAATCTCTTTTCCCTTTGTTGTTGAGGATTCCAGTGTACATATAGTTCTCTTTGCTCTGTTTCACCAGCCTAGGATTGCCTATACCCAATTTTTATCTCTAAGTATTGCCTTCGAGAACAAAAGAATGATATTTACATGTGTCGTTTTATTTTCTTTAAGACTCAGTACACAGCTTCAGTGGGCATTCAAGCATTTGTTCCGAACAGTCAACAGACAACATATCCCTGTGGTATCATAGGAAACGAGTTGATATCTGTGCCCTGGGAGTGCACTGTTACTGTAAGTGAATCAGTTAGACACTCAACCTCGTTCCTAGAACAAGGTTGTTACACACTTAAGTTGGACTTAATTTATTGCAACCACATAAGTTATATAAATTTAGTTAGCGACATAAACAAATATTTAGCGCTGAGCTATTGAGAATTAATCATCATCTAGAGCATAACGCCAATTTCTCAGAACTCTCATCGGAGAGTTTTGTGCTAATGCCTCACAGGAGGCAGCGTGGCCGAGTGGTTAGGGTTGCGGTCTTGAAATCTACTGTAGAGTTTTTTTTTTTTTTTTAATTGCTAAACACATAATTACTTGCATTGCCTTACTCTACTTACAACACGACACAAGAGGTTGCGGATTCAAGTCCCGCTCTGACCAATAAGCTGGAGTTTTTTCTTGGTAGACCCTAGTTCAACTCCTCGGTCACGCTTGTAAATAGCCAGCTGATCTGCCTCCCACCAGTTGGGATTTTTAAGCCTATTATGTTTATTTGAAATAATATATTTCTTTCTTTCAGATTAAGTGGTATGTCTGTGAACTAGCTAGTTGTAGCTAAGTGCATCGACCACTCTTAACGTTCAACATTGAACATTTTTTACGGTCTTCCGCTTGTTACAAAGCTTTATCCTTTTTTTTTTTTTCTTTTTTTTTTTTCGCAGGGAAGCAAATCGTCTGGCCAGTCCACAGTGACAAGAGTAACTTCCGATCACAACTTTTCTCTGTTGCTCAGACCTGAATGCATTCCAGTATTTCAGGAGCTCCGCGAGGCAAGTTCTCAACTGTGTTGCGGTTTAACACAACTAGTTTTATTGTATGAAAACAAGACACAGTTTGATTTTGGTAGCCTTGTCTCATTATCAATTATGACTTTTAAACTTCTTGAATTTTTGTCTTCATTTTCTGTATCTTTTATAGGAATATACCAGCTTATTGGATTTGAGACAATTGAAAAAGTTGTTGAGATTGTTGAAGAAAAAGGCGAAGGAACAGTCCACACCTAAGCAGGTATTGAAAAGTGATGAAAACGAGTAAATGCAGATGTAATTGTCTTCTTTTTGTTTCAGTGCTGCCGGAATTAGGAGCGAGTTTTACGAAGTTTCACTCGATCTGCAGCCTGGTCTGTAGGTTAATCAATGGAAACGCGATGTTTTTCTTGCATTCACTAAGCACTTGTTCTCCCGCACTTGGACACCAGCGTTATATTTTTCCCGCGCATGGCGCCGGTGTCATGTTTTCCTGCGCTTGGCGCTGGTGTCATTTTTCTCCGCGCTCGGCGCTGTTGTCATGTTTTCCCACACTTGGGGCATTGTCATGTTTTCCCGCGCTTGAGGCAGGTTGTTTGTAGGTTTAGCATCTGATCGGTCAATTGCTTACGTAGCATTTCAGCCTAAAACAGTACGGGGCTCCGGGGAATAACTACAGAGTTTGTGGGGTTTATTTCCCAGAGACTCGTGCTGAGGCCTATTGTGTTAGGCTGAATTTTAATATATCGAAATTGTGCTATTTGCCGTGTGTGAATTTTTGGTTGTTTGTCTTGTTTTACAAGTGCGATTTGAACTTTTCTTTGTCCATAAACCAACACATGTGGCTAGAGGCAACATAATCCATACCTTTTTCCCTCCATTTTCGTTTTCGGCCAACATTTTCGTTGCTGCTGTTTTGTTTTTTAGATTTTCATAAATTGCAAAGGGATGAGGCTATCTTTAGAAATGGATGTATACGAAGAACTGCTGAACGTCAGCTTTGAAGATATCAAGGTACAGTAAACTCACTTGATTTTATTGGTTAGCTTCTGTGGTTCACCCGACATCTTGTACGGGAAATTCCGGGAGGAGTATCGAATGAAGAGGCGATCTACTCCATTTAAAAGGTTCTTTATAATTGACGAAACGAAGTGATAGATAAATAACACAAACAATACCCGTAGCCCTAAGGACTATAGAGATAAAGATTATATGGACAGGAACGAATGAAAATAGCCGAAGTTTTGAATTGTTGCAGATCAGCCGCAAATGGAACGGAAATTGATTCCTGGTATGACATTTTAGACTGAAAATGTCGGTATATCTCGAGAGGTTGCCTTCTTTTGCGGAAATTCGGGAAAAATGATGTTCCATTTACGACTGGAGATTTCCATAAATTCAAATCGGATTTCTTGGTTGAATGGCGAAATTTACATTGTACGCTGTTACAGTGCATTCATGGTTTTTTCATTTAATTCGCAGGCCGAATTTAACAGAGATCAACATCATATAACACTAGAACTGAGCGTCAAAGATCTGGAGGTAAGCTCTTAAATTATAACACTTGCACCCTTTGCCCCACTCCTTCTTCTCCTGCTTAGCCTCAATACGTACAGCGGTAACATTCTAGCCTTTGGACATGCTCTCTAGTGGAGGATGGGGCGAAGAGAAAGCGGGAACCAACTCCCCGCCCTCTCGACCACTTCTTTCTTAACCAGTTCCTTTTGGGCCCTTCCAGCCGCGGTCAGACCCTTCCAGCCGCAGTGTGTTCACAGGGTAGTAGCAAAAAAGGTAGAACAGACTGAAATTTCAGACTCATCTAGCCACTTTAAGGTCGCGTTCTTGTATATACTGAGTATATAAAAAAGTTATCTTGATAGGGTGAAACTACTGGAACTAATGTTTTGATTAATACATGCATAACAACTATCCACAGGTCGAGGACTGCACAGATAAAATTATTGCACTTCAGCAACAGCGATCAGGCGGCATTAGTTCCTTGTCATTATTGAGATTTTCACTCATGCAAGATGTAGCCAAGGACGAGGAGAAAATAGCTGTGAAGGTATGTTTTAAGAAACTTATGCATGCATTTCTGTAGATGCATTTCTATGATTTCGTTACTGAAAATACTAGCCAAGTTTTGATTAATATTTTTGAATATATGAAAGATTATATATTTGAACTGCGGAGAAAGATATGAAGACACGATCCGCTGCTCTAATATATGATATATTACAAACTCACAACGTGACCAGCTCTCAGATGGCTTGATAGCTCAGTTGGTAGAGCACTGCACCGGATCGCAGAGGTCGTGGGTTCGAATCCAGTTCACGCCTGAGTGTTTTTTTCAGGCTTTAATTTCACAGCTGCTTAAGCTGTGTGTATAACTGTGATGATCAATCATGTCTTCGTGACTTGTATATTGTCACATAAGTGGTAGCGGATGGTTTGGCTAAGTTTTCTTTATTTTCTCAAAATCTGAAGTAGTTTTCTCTGTGGTTCCATTTTACAGAGACTTCACATTGAACCAGGCAACTCAACAGTATCCTTTCAAGAAAAACTGATACTAAAATTACTGCAGTTTGCTGGCATCAAGAAGAAGTGTCAGTTTTGGGGCGAAGAAACGAACGCAGAAGATGAGAGTTCCAACGAAAATCTTCCCGCTTTCCTAACTAACACGCGATTTTATTTTGAGAAACTTCATGTGGAGTCGTTTCAAGTTGTGGTGACATGTAACCCGGCCAATACGCTCCCTGAAGAACTACAGAGTTTAAAAACTGCGCTGGAGATTCCTGCCGGGTTTCCTCCTTTGATGGAGAACGCCAGTGTCGAGTTTGGTAAATAGGAGTTTAATTCTAAAGCTGTCCATAGGAGTTACTTTATCTTAGAACAAGCGATTCAAAGCTTCGCGTCAGCCACATGTATTTGCTTTAGACGCCGTCCACACAACACTGGGAGGAATTTGAAAACGCAGCTTTTTGTCCGTCCACTCTAATCCGTCACGAAAACGGAGCTTTTCGAAAACGCTCTTCAAACCGGGGGAATTTGAAAACGCCGGCTTTTCGTTTTCGTGTGGACAGAAAACATTTTGGAAACGGAGCCTTTTGAACACGTTGACCTCACGATAATGTGATTTCCCTGCTCGATTTTTTTTTTTCAAACACAATTCCTCCGGCGGGCTCTTAATGGTTCAATTAATTTTCCGTGTCTTTTGTGATTTGGTTTTGGATTTACGATACTCAATTGAAAACTGCTTTATTGGCTTAAATGTAAACCAGCTTGTTTTGGCTAAACACCAGTATTTAATGTTATCATTGTATTTAGCATTTCTCTCGTGTCTTCGTGCTCCGCGATAAAATGTCTTCGAAGGTGTCGAGTTATCTGAAGAAATTATCTTATGGAACTGAAGCTGTCCTGTCGGGCTTTTCCTTCCTGCGATCAAGAATAGAATTTATGTATATCCCTTGTTTTCTTTTAGGAGAATTTTTACGAACCGGTATCAGTTACAAAACATTGGCTTCTCTCGGTCGAGATGCCAGGAGGCATTACTTGAAGGTGAGTCAGTAAACTATTATCTTGGCGTTTTCAAGAGGAAATGAAATCGAAAGCTGCTGGCATTTCTGTACAGCGTTTTCTGCCTTCATGTCACTTTCTCTATGTTAATTATATATATATTAATTATGTTCATAATTATCTTAATTATTGCAGGAAATCGGCCGTCAGTCCACGTCTCTTCTTGGCTCGCTCCATCTCCTTGGTGACCTCTCCAGCTTGCAGGGTGAAATTGCCGATGGACTCGCCGAGCTGAAGGAGACTGGTGACTACTTGGGATTTGTCAGACATGTGAGAGGGGGCTTGGCGGAATCTTATTACAAGGTGCGGCATTGAAATCCCAAGGAACCCTTTTGATGAACCCCTGGGGTGAAGTGATTTGATGAAAGAGTTACTTTGGAAATGTCCCTCAGGGAAAACATATTTCCAAAAGAGTTGAAATGTAATCCCCAGGAATTTTGAGCAGATTGATTCGAACTCATGTGAAGCATATTGGCAGGTTCATGATATGAAGGGATCACTACCCGTAAATTGAACTCGTTGGCCAAGGAGCTAGTGTAGCTGAAAAATTCAAGTATTCAAACGCTACAATCCGAAATTGTTTACCTAGAGCTGCAGGGTAGATTCCTATTTGATTAAAGGAACTCAGTTTCGGCAGTTTGAGTTATTTTCGCCAAGAACAAAATTAACTTCAATTTGAAGGAAACCTGGAAATAGTAGTCTACTAAGATTAAAAAAAATAAAAAATAAAAAAATAAAGGAACAAGGATGGTTAAGGAACGACAAACTTGACGTAGTTCCTTTAAGTTTGACAGTCTATCAATGAAGCTAGGAACGTTCGGTTTGTCCGAAAATTCCTGGCGCGCCACAGGTATAACGTTACCCGAGATCACTTTCAACGCTGAAATTACGAAATATCTTACGATCTTTCCGTCTCGGATGTCGTTCGCCTTTTCGTTTGCGTCTTATTGTGGTACATGTTTCTCTGCAGTTCGCTGACTCCTGGTCAGCTTGTATCACGCAGTCGCAATCAAATAGTCCGTCGACGAGTAATTCTACGCCCTCGAGCAGTTCGAACCCTCAGATGAAGTCTTTCCGTGGCGTTGTGGGTAGTTTGACGAATTTTCTTCTTAATCCTCCCAAGGATGCCAGTCATCGAAAACTGCAGGTACCTTGTTCATTATTGATGACTTTAGTCCACTTCTGTTGTGTTTTGCCTCGTTCCGTGTTTGGCAGGGCGACCTTACATTGGAGGGAAATAGTTGTGTGACAGAATTTCAGTCATGCGTATTAAAATAATGAAGTTTTCGAGATCATCTCAGCAGACCATATTACAGTTGTCTGTTCAGTGACCTGGCCTTTGAATATCATCGAGGCTGGAGGTGTCTTTGTTTTGATACAGACCTCACTTCTTTTGTTGTGTAAATTGGGCTGTTCTAATGCTAACTGAGTTACATTAAAATGAGAAAAACAGAGAGGTTTGTATCAAAGCAAGGTCGCCTTCAGCCTAGCTTGCATTCACAGGCCAGGTAACAGCATACAACGGTTACTGTAAAACGGCTTCTTGCCAATGGAAAAAAAAAAAGAAAAATGTCAAAGTTGGTACGAAACAGGGTATAGACTAACGGTCATGTTAAAGAGCATTTCTTGGTCAATGTGAAGGTATTCAGAGGTGAAGCAAACAGTTGATATAATTTCCGATTTTTGTTTCAGCTCTCCGACTCACCAGCTGCTACGCCTCCAGGCAGTCCGGGAATACGTTTAGCGTCCAGGAGACTGGTACCGACAAATTGTGAAGACCATGATTCTTCAGGAAGCGAGGAAAGCAGTTTGTCGTGCATTCAGTCGGTGGACGGCTGGGAACTTGTATCGAAGGATGTTCTCAAAAAGTTAAAGGGCCAAGAGTTTTTACGTAGACTACAAGTCAGCATGAGTGGTGAAGCGACTCAAGAAGAAAAGTAAGCGGATTAAGGCTTTGCTTTGTGTGAACAAACTTACACTTACAGACAAACAGACAGACATACATACTTACAACCTTTATTTATACTCGATAAAAAATTTCAAAGCTAACAAGCTTGTGGGGTCGTGTACTACATAAAAAGATACAAATGCGAGGAATAATTAAGAAACTACAATTAAAGGATTAAAATCATTCATTCATTCATTCAGACAGACAGAACGATAGACAGATAGACCGACAGACAAACAGACTGACCGCGAGAGAGAAATAGACCGACTGACAGATGCACAGGCAATCAGACAGACTTACACATACTTTAGGCATGCAGACAGACAAACAGACAGACAGACAGACTAACAGACACACATACAGACTAACAGACAGATAGAAAGACAGAAAGACAGCCCCCTGCTTCGAGCACGATCCCTCTGTCAGAGGGAATCCTGGATGCTGTTTCGTCGATTTCATCTGACAAATATTCGAAACTACAGAATGCAAATCTATAAAGATTTGTAATAGCCCATTTCCGAGTTGACCCAAGCCTCTCTATCAAGGCGAGGCCTGGTGTACAACCATTCATATGGAAATGAGTTTGACTTCCATGTGAATGAAATCACATTTTCATAAGAAAAGAATACTCGCTTTGAGAAAGAGGCTTAAGGAGATTCGGAAAATGGCATATACACCCAATTCAACCCCTTGTATTGTCTTAAAGAAGTTATAGCTTTCGCACCTTCCTGCCAACGTGCCTACCAACCCAGCACTCATGCATTTCCTATCCTTGCTTTACACAGCGATTTTGTGATCTAGTTCCCTCATTCGTCGGTTAGATAGCTGCGCTGTAATCATTTCTATCTTCGATGTCGTTAATTTTTCTTACTTGCTTAGTAGTGGGTTCATCTTACTTGCTGAGGCATGACCTAAGCAAATTAACCCTTATTTGAGGGTTTCCTAGGTAATAGATAAGTTCTTAAGCTTGCGGTAGATTTGATAACTGTCTTTGTTAACTCGTTTGTTTTCCCTTAAAGTTTTGTCACCTGTATAAAGCTGCGCCACGAGGATCCCGAGGACAAACTGAGCGCCCTGGTAACGAGTCAGCACGTGCACTTCATCAGGGCTGGCTTACCATTGGCTGATAACGTGATTCTCACGATTAAACTTTTCAACTTGTACAAGGCGCGACATAAAGACCAAGGTATGTGATATGTGCGTTATTTCCGGGCTGCAACTCAGAGGGTTGTCAGGAAATGGTTAGGGGAAAAAATATTCTTCACAGTCAGGGAAAAGTCAGGGAATTTTATTTTGAGTCAGGGGTAATTGACGTTTTGAAGAAAAGTCAGACAATATTGACAGAATTTAAGACAGGTGATTTAATACCTTTGAAGACTGGAAGAGAGATTTGGGGTGACTGTGATCTCAACGATGCTTTTCCTTCGTAAAGGGGGAAAGTTTGTCGAAAATGTATTTGTCTTCATGGGGGCAAGAGACCTCCACTATATCTGACATTTTGTGCCTGTTTGGTCCGGGACGTTTTCCTGAAAAGTGATGTCTTTTGCCATAGACATCACTTTTTAGGGAAATCTGAAAATTGATGTCTGTGTCACAACGTCACAAGCGTGAAGTTTTCTAAAAGAAAACCAAACAAACAAACAAATAAACAACAACAACAAAAAAATCACCGTTGTTCTTTTTCAGATCAAGAGCATTACCTGGAATTACGGATGCGAATATCAGGAGGCAAACGACTGTCCCTCCCCTCCCCTAATCCTGCCGACAGTCCTCTAGTCCGGTGTAGTTCGGTAAGACGGGCACAGAAAGCGGCGAGTGTAATAAACGAGACGAAGAAAAAGAACGAATCAAGATAACAAGTCAACGTCGGCAAGATCTTGATCGAGTGCACAATGCAGAATTGCAGTTACTATCCAGGGAAAATTTTTAGTTTGTATTACGGATTTAGACAACTTGTGAATTAACTTCCAAGTGTGAAGGATCGATCAATCAACAACTTTATTTTTGTGTCAACTTCTACTGGCTGGCTGTCCCTACAAGGAGCCTAATATATTACTTGCAATACGTTTCGGACGTTTAATTTTCGAGCACCTTTTATCTCATGTCGGATAAATTTCGGACTGAAATTTCGGACACTTTGCTATAAGCTAGCTGAAGTAAGTTTACGCCTACAAACACGAATTAAACTGAAACAACATTTGTAAAAATGATAGTTTTCCTCATCTTCAAGGTTTTACAGATACACCGACGATATAATAACACGTTTCATATCTCAATCAGTGTCTCGGCTAGAGTTCGCTCCATGAAGGAAACTAAGAGCTCTGGAGCTACGTTAAAGTTTTATACTGTGCTGTAAATATTTCGGACGCTTAAAAATTTCCAACGGTTTTATTTTCGGACACTTTTTGTCCGAAATTAAAATTGTCCTAAATTTTTTGCAAGTAATGTAATTGGGGACACTTGAAACTGACGCATCAGTTGATACCTTGTCAGAGAGATGGCCTTTGAATCTCACGCGGGAGCCAGGTGTAAGTTTCCTCTGTTAAAAAAACCTGGGTGTCGCGTTGCTTGATTATAGAATTTGCCGCTGTATTTCCTTTCGTGGAAATAATTTGATTTAAGTCTTAGTCTAAGCTCGAACCTCTTTATCGTATGTTTACGTGTTTATTGTTATAAAGTAGAAGACATATATACGTTGAACACTGTCATTGGGCTAGGTTAAAATAACACATTGAATAGTTTGTAATCTTAAGATGCTGTTATTGTTATTGTCATAAGTATTGCAGATAAATCCCAAACTTTATTGCTGTGAATTTCATGATGGGGTTTTCCGATATTGTTTTTTGGGGGGTGGGGTGGGGACGGGGGGCAGCTAAATATAATTTCTCATAGTATACAGATCACTCTATCCTAATAACAACGTTTTCAGCAGCTAAATTGCGCTGAAACGGTTTTATTATTTTCAGACAAATTACATCATACATAAACTATATATTATTAAGTTTAATTAGGGTAAAGATTGTTTTTATCTCGCAGTATACAGATCATTCTTTGCTGACAACGTTTTTAGCGGCTAAATTGCATTGAAACGATTTTATTATTTTCAGAGAAATATTGTTTTTATCAAAACTGGTAAAATAATTGTCAAAAGTAGATACGAATTAGCATTTAACTTACATCTTTTGTAAAGTCACTCTTTAACGACAAGTTCCGATATTGCAGTTTTTTAGTTAAAATTAGCTCAAGTTTATAGTTCGCCAATTGCTCATGAAAGTCTGCATTATTTTGGTAAAAAAAGAGAGAGATATATATGTAATGAATTTAATAAAGAGCTATAACAGATTCATATTGGGGGAATGTTATGAAATACTGTCAAAAAAGGTAAATCGTCATATTATGTAACTATATAAAAACCACGTTCAACTGAAGTAACTCTATTTACAACTAAGCTTATTATATAATGAGAATTTGAAAGGACATCAATTATTATTCTCCTGAACCTTCTGCTCGACAGCGTCCTGGAGGGGGCGGGGTGGGGTGGGGGTACTGTGGTACTTCCATATGCAAAGGTCGGGGTTAGGGTTAGCAAAATTTGAATTAAACCCCAGCAGGAAACCAATCTAGGGGATTCATTTTCTTACTTTGATAATCTCTTGGTTCCAAATAAAGTGGTTCATTTTCTGATTTTTTTTCTTCCTTTCTGTGACACTGGTTTATTATTTTTTTTAGAAAAATAACTTAGGATTTATAAAAAAAAGTACTGGCAATTGTTTTTGTAAAGCATGCTATACCTTTTCAACTTGAACAAGTCGCAACGTTAATCTTGAAACCTAAACAATCGCGCGCCTGAGCTGAAAAAAAGGTGTTATTCTGATTTTCAGAGTTATCTCAAAGTTTCTCGTAAGAGTTGATACCGTTTGGTAGCTCGAAAGGTCTGCTGAAAAATTGCATTTTAACAGTAACGGAAGTTACTTTGAACACCTCACTGTCTAATTTCCTTGAATGCGTTTCTCTTCGTTTACTGTTGTACTACAAAAAGAGTAGCGCTGGTTGTTGACCTATCACCTGTCTCTTGTTAATTTTCCGGTTTTTGTCAGAAAGATTGCCAAGCTACCAAATATTCTGTTAACATATTGTGAAAGTTTATGTGAAGTGTTCTGCATGGTCAACAGGTATCGGTCAGTCTGTAGTAACCTATGTTTCATTATTTCGCGCTATTTTTGAGTGGACGACGAAAGCCAAAACTCTTCTGGTACCAGTTACTACAAAGCACTTGTGTAACTTTCAACAAGAACATCTGAAGTTCTTCCTGGTGGTTATGTTATTCCGAGAGGCCAACCGGAATCGAAACCTTCGTGGAAGTTATTCATTAGACAGAGATCCGCTCGGGAACTCCCAATATCAAACAGTTCGAGTGCGCCGGCGTTTCCTTTGTTTTATTTTATTAACGATAATCCTGGCCACCAGATCACCAAATTCTAGCACTGTGAGAATACTGGCGCCGAGAAACAATCCCACCTGACCACCAATGTCACCTAAACACAAATTAGAAAAATAAAAATAAAAATAACATGATTAAGTGTAGCATAGTTTCCGTGATGAGAGTTGACTATGCCATGGCAGCCTACATATCTAATACCTACTATATGTAAGACCTTGCTCATTAGATTGAGCAATAATCGCTTTCAAAGAAAATAGAATATTTTGCTGTGCATAAAGAAACACCAATAAAAGAAATAAAGAAACAGCCATGCGAACAAACAATGAATCAATTAAACAATTAAAAACCAGCAAACATAAAGAGACAGACATGCAGGAAGACGGAGACAGACAGACAGGCAGACAGACAGAGAGACGGACCGACCGACGACCGACGACCGACAGACAGACATGCAGACAGGTAGGTAGGCGGGCGGGCAGGCAGCCTGGCATTGACTACATCTTGGACTATTGTGCTCATGTGACGGAGTAGCTCTGTATAACTCACCAAACAAACTTTCCTGATCATATGCTTGTCGCTGGGTTATAAGAGTGACTTGCATTTCCTCAAAGTACACATCTAACTCGAGGAAGTTGTCCCTGTTAGGAGATAACGCTCGTTCCATGAAATTCTATTTTCTTTCCCTTTAACATAAATATCGAACCCTTCGATAGGCAACACCGAAGAAAATTGGAAAGAATAACTCGTCAAATTTACATCTGACTTCTCGGTCAGATCAAAGGGTGGTTTAACAACGACCTAAATTTCGCTGGAGCTGCCAGCTTAAATACAGTTGTCGTTTACTCTGGTCCTTGCCAAGAGTAACGATTTGAAGTGATTTTAGAGCAAATACGTAATAAAGTACAGGGTAATATGGCCATAAACAATATACTATTTTGCATGAGTTCGTTTGAGTTGGAAATCTTGGTTAAAAGGTCATTAATTCATGTTTCAAGTTTGCGTCATCTGGCGAATAGATTCTTATTATCATCAAATGTTTCTAAAAGCTGTCCTCAAGTTAACACGTTAGGTATCTTTGATGTTCCTCACCTAAGGTAATGTCTCATGACGTCCTTTCGAACATGTTTTCTCCGCGCCAGTACCTCGGAGAAATGCTTGGCAGGGGTCTGGGCGTAACTCAGTTGTACTTGGTATTTGGTGATCTCACAGGGGACTGGGCATTCGCAGTTGTTGCTTTCATTTCGAAAGATTTCTGGATATTGTTTAAGAGACAAAACTGTGATTCAACCCTTGCTTAGAACAATGTGTTAACAAGAGCTAAGAACAAATAGAAAGATGTTTTAAAGCTCCTTTTCAAACTAATCCCGTCCAGGTTCTTCAACTTACCCATGGCAGGCCAAACGCAATTTTTGACTTCCTGTGGTAGACAGGGCGGGGCTTCGCCTGAAATGGAGAAATTTTTATAGAATGTAATATAGCTCACTGGTTTAAGTGGAAAATGTGGAGGCGTGGTGGCCTCATGGTTAGTGCGCTCCATTCCGGATCGAGCGGTCCGGGTTCAAGCTCTGGCCATTGACATTGTGTTGTGTTCTTGGGCAAGACATGGAACTCTCATGGGTGGTAACTCTGGGATTACATAACTCTCATGGGTGGTAACCCTGGGATGGAGTAGAATCCCATGAGGGGAAGTAGAAACACTTCTAGTCGCTTCATATTACATAGAAACCGGAGATAAGCGTCGGCCTGATGGGCCACTTGGCTCGTATGCAGACTTTACATTTTTAGCTTAAGTGGAATATGCCGTGAAATACACAGCGAGTTAATTGATTTCTCTGTGACTTACCTTCCAAATCGTACGATCTACATTTACACATACTAATGACGTAATCAGCGCGGCACTTCAGGAGGCAAGCAGACTTGGTGTATTTTTTGAAGCCCGCTAAGTGTTTGTCTTCACATGCTGTTTTGAATGGACGCGGAAGATTATGCATCTGAAACGAAAAGAAAAAGAAATCCACAACTGTAATAACTGTGCTTGTGTAACGAAGATGATTCGTAGGAACAATTCTCCGATGGAAAAAAAAGATGGCGACTGGTGCATCTAGCCATAACTCTTACCGCACGAAAACTTTGAAAAAGCTTACACAAACGTACAGAAAAGTTGTAAAACGTTCAAACCTAGCATACACTATGTCGTTAACACTGGAACAAATATGTAAAAATCTGGCTTTTCTTGTACTTTATGGGCTGTGTAAGGCTCGCTTGGTATTGTGGTAAAATGTGAGGCAGCCATCTTTTTTCATACGGAGGATTGTGACCCGTTTTAAATCTTTAATGCTTATTAGGACAAATTTGGTTCAATGAAAACCCCTAGTTTCGTATGATCTCGACCTTAGTTTTAAATTGCATGTATTTACCTTACAACAGTACTTAAATGACCTTAACTGCGCCACACGGCACAAAGAGAATGTTTACATACTACTTCCTTCCTGAGCCCACAAAATGTATGTGTCCCCGGTTGAATTGCAAAGCCGAGTTCGTTGATCAGTGGTGGTTCTTCCTGGTCATGCACCATGACCTTGAACCCAGACGAGTCTCTCAGTGATCCGTAATATTGATCCTGTTGAACGCTGAGGGATAATCTGAGAGCATAATCTACTCCTGCTCGCTGAACTTTTAGAAGAGGGTGACCCTTTAAACCTGTTAAACAGGAAATAAGCCATTTGAGGAAGTTATGTCGTGATACATTAAGCCAGTCAAACATTTAAAAATAGTAGTTTATGCGGGAAGGTAAACACTGAAGACGAATTGGTAAAGTCACAGGGACAAGGAAATATTTTGGAGCGGAGAATACTGAGACGGATTACGAAGAAAGGGTTTATAAAAACTTAAGCCTTATTATTTAGATCCGCCAAGCATTGGTGAGGGAGAGGAGGCAAAGTCATTTTTTTCAGATGCTTTTGCCTCTCTTCCCATTTCGAACCCAAAACATTCTTCATGTTAAAATAGTTCTGAAATAGTTCTGCAGTGGAATTTACCATGCAAAGAAATTCCATGTAGATAGAATAATGAATGAGTTGCCAGTAATCGGATACCCGTGTTTGCGCAAAGAACTCTGGGATCGTCAGGGGGCGAACATTGCAAGTCGCTAGAAGGAAATGTATAGCGAAAAGTTGTTTCGACGGCCAAAAACATGGTTTTGGGGAGAGATCAACGCTTTTTCGCCGTTGTTTTATCGCAAATGGATTTTGGCAATGTTGATACATGGAAAATGTAAGTTTTTGTTTGAACAACCGTGAAATAAGTGATAAAATTTACCGATAAACTGAACTCCCTTTTGCTTGCGTGAGGTTTATTGTGAAATACATTGAAGAGAATATTGAAAATTTCAATACACGCCTGATCTCGAGAGGCTACCCGGAGCAAA